TAGATCCAATATTAGAGTTACGGAAATCGGATGTCAACTGAGATATATTGCAGGGATTGAATACAAATACTTTACTAGCGTGACTATAATCCCTGATGAATAATAGTAGTAACGTAGCTGACGACTTGATTATGCAAAGGAAGTGGTTGTTTAATGACTGTTTCAAATTCTATTTACTGGCAGGAATTAAAATGTATAAAAAGTAAACATACAGCATTCGACCGAATAAATGTAAATAGTTAATATCAAGTGAAGTAAGCTGTTAGGTTAATTAATCTATGTTATTTACAAGTTATGCAGTCATTCGTCATTACTTATTAAACAACCTGGCAGAGATCCAAATCCACAAACTGAAAAAAGGAAATAAATAATAACTTAGTGGACATGGTAAAAAGATTTATAGTAAAGAATAACCTCTATCTAACTATTACTTTAATAAACACAGTAAGAGTAATGGATGCTGATTTGAATGTTTAGTTGGAATAAAGAATTCATCTACTTGGACCATATGTAGGGTGTATAGATTCGTGTAAATAATACATCTTAACAATTGGACTACTAATAGTCTCTTCCAGACACTTGGCGAAATCATTGTGAGTTTCTTTTAATTTTATTTACACAACGTTATACATTAGTACGAATAATGACTCCCCATACGTTTCGAATATCTTTTGAAGTATACTTACAATTGTATCAACTGCTTTACTATACTTACCTAAAATCGTAAAGTAAATCTTTGCTCCATTTTTTGGTACAGAGTAGTTGTTTACAAATAACATTTATCACAACTTCTCTGTTAAAAATGCCTATTTATAAAAAAATGATCTTATAAAAGGCTATACAGGAAACATAGGGACAATTATAGTGAAAAAAGTCGGGGAATGTCTATCCAAGAAACATTGTGTTTGTCTTCTGGCTGTAAAAATTTACCTCTCTATAATAAATGAACATTTAAAAATGTTTTGTTCTTGTAATAACAGACATTTTTGTATCTAATCAATAATTGTTACCATTTTCGATTATCTGGGACAATATTCTATGCGCATAAAATAAGCCAACTTAATAGCCTGCTTTTATGAAATATGTACTTATGGTACTTACTGCCTTGGTATATTAATTACTGCGATTCGGATATTTTTTATGTCAACAGAGCTTATTACAATTTTCCTAAACTAATTAGATCTGATTGACACTTAATTTTATCTGCTACTTTTTGTTGATTATTAGCAGTATTGACAGTGTGAAACGAAATATTTGCATATTTGCAATAATTAGTCATTCTAGTCAACCCTTAAGCCTATATGTATATTTCTGTCCATCAACTTTAATCATTTACCTCTCCAACGAGTTTTTGTTTATTATAAGAAAACAATAGTCATATTCATGACTGTAACTAATCACCATTCTGTAAAGAAACATTGTTGTGTTAATCACGATAGTAGTGGTAAGTCAGTCCTAATTGTAAAGGAAGTTGAGTTTCTTACTTTGTAGATTTATCTTGTCAATTAGATATATGTATATGTGCCTTCGTTCAACAATTTATTCCCACTGATATATTTTTCAATTCATTACTTGGTGAAGATTCGTGTATTTGGCTTCAATGCACACTAAATGTGAGGGCAAGTAGTACTACTCGGTAGACTAAATTAGGGTAGGTGGAGTTGAGTTCAAATATACGGCTAGATAGATAAAACTAGAACTTCTTAACCAGTTAGCCATTGAATCCAGTATCCTACTTTTATCTATAAAAACTGGTTAATCATGATGATTTTTTAGTGTGCTTTGATAAACGTTAAGTTACTTTGATTGTTCATAATCTCAGGAGACTACTTCACAACTCAGATATAAAAAATCCCAGTCAATTTTTACAGTTATTCCGGTTAACTTATCGGTTTATAATTACCAAATTGATTTCACTTATATCTTTCTGGAACTACTGGTATCAGATTATCTATAAGTATAATGCCTGCAAGACTTAAACCTGAACTACGTCGAAAACTCCTTCAACAAAATGGTATGTGTATTTTATGTTAACATGGAAATAAATTGATTTTATAATTAGCCAACAAATCAAACAACTGCATGCCTTAATGACCACTTGTTTGGGGGGGCTATAATTTCTTATTTAAATTATACTTACATAGTTTGCTAACATACCTTCTAATAAGACAATATTGGAAGATGAATTACTAACTCATGTTCTTTATTGTTTGTCATGTTATTTAATCAAATTTTATTACAGCAATATACTTATACATCTGAACAAGAATTATTTGAAACTGGATACACTTTTTCAATATCATGATAGTCGGGTAACAGGTAAATCATGTATACTAGCTACTAAGCCGTATTACATGATGAAATGTTAAATTCTGTAACGTTGCGCATATATTTGTTATTTACAAGGCGTTCAATAGTACTTTTGCTATAAACCTGTTGCATTAGTGATTTAGATATTAAAAAATAAGTATATATATATATATATATATATATATATATATATATATATATATAAAATAGACTCGCTTATTAGGTTATAGCTAACTGTTTACAACCTGTAATAATTTCCAATCAAAATAACGAAGTACATTGAAAATAATTACAAAAATAGATTTACGTGGGAAGTTATTGTGAGCACGCATCAGTATATTGACGGTTAGATGTATACAAATTTAAGTTACCAAGTACGGAGTATTACAAATTTATATCATATGTAAAAGAACATTATACAGCATAATAGTGAAACGCCAAAAAATTGTAAATAAATAATTAATTTGTAGCGGTAAATAAATCCCCAAAATCTATATATATGTAAGTCTTCGACATTTGATGCTGACCATATTCGTTTTAATCGAATCACCTAACTGAAGACGCTCGGCCACGCATTCGCACCAGCTCACGAGTGGGAACGCCGTGCTCAACTTCTCCTACAACCGCTAGCCAGTTTTGATCAGTCACTCTTTAATATATGGACAACCTATCAAATATAACTTCGAACCTCTTCGCTTCTGACTTTTGATTTCACTGGGTGGGCACGATTCAATTATAGGTGTTACTGGTTAAAGTGTTGTCAAACTTTAAATATTTGTGGCATCTTCTAATTAATGAATGAACACTAATGATAATTAAGAATAGGTAAAGGTCAGTTAGTTAAAAGAACTCAAAATTATTCAATTGAAAGAGAGTTTTAAAGACAAACAAACAAATTAAGTGATTTCATGTTAATTCTGTTGATTCCTTTCCTCTTGATCTCTTCAAAAAAACAATCGTTGGTTGTGTGAAGTTAAATAGCTACATTAAATCCAATGTAAAGAGAAATGAAAATATGATAAGTGAATGGATGAATTCTTGTCAATGTCAGACTGTACACATTTGCACATTAAGATTTACCTATACGTTACTATGTGAAAAAAACGCTTATTATTACCATACCCCTGAAACATTGACAAGAATTTATATGACACTTTAGATGGTTCGTTCATCTTTAATCTTCGAAATGTTCATTTTATCTTTACTCATCTAAATGATGCCTTGTACCTTATTACTACGTCAGGTCACATCATATTAGCAGTGTTATATGAGGAACATAGGCAGCACATAATTTGATACAGTATTATATCGATAATCCAATGAGAAGACGAAGGTTATCAGGATCATACGATTTATTTACGCAATACATTTCTGACAATCTGATCACATATATATACTTGTTCGCAATTGTTTTAGTGACTTGAAGTACTGAGAAGTTAATATACTTCTCTGCTTTGGTCCAAGAGAATGAAACTAGTGTACTATGTCCACTAGTTTAGCTTTAAATCAACTTTGATTTCCTAAGCATGAAGGCGCTAAACTACTCAACTGATGATAGATATTTTCGAATTGGGCATTGATTGTCAACGCATAGATTTGTGTTGTACTGACAGACAAATTAAAACCCAGAGAAAGTACCTCCTATCCATGAACGGACAATACAATGGAGAACAAATTAGTGACATATTTACCAAGAATAAGTGGGAAAGAAGTGAGATGAATATCATTATTACAACAAATTTTTTTCAAAGCAGAGAAGTATATTAACTTCTCAGTACTTCAAGTCATTAAATGAATTGCGAACACGTATATATATGTGATCAGATTGTTCAAAATTTATTGCGCAAATCTGATAACCTTCGTCTTCTCATTATATTATCGAAATTTATCAAAAAGGACTAAATGTTTTAAGCAGTATTATTTCCCTTGGTAAAGTTGGATTTAAAAAGTTTTTGTTATAATGGTGAAAATATTTTGTTCATGTATAATGATTAGATGATTGATTTAAGATATTTTACATAAAATTAACTATTCCAGAAATATTCCACAAATCTTAGTTGATACTATTGTGATGAAAATAAGACTGCAAAAGAGTATGATTAGTTCAAGGAGGTTTATGTCTCGAGAAGGCTGAATTTGCATTGTTCATCATCATCATAAGTTAACTTCTATTTTGTAAAATTGTGAATATTTTTTTCAACTGGTGATTACAACTCACAATAAACTTTTTGCTATTATAGACTTCAATTTTGTCATTGTTTATTTGAATTTCTGCGTTTCTAAGACACTCCTACTGTGTTGTATTCATCTTAGTGTATATTTAATGACCATTATTGGCTTCAACTAATCGTTGTTTCCATTCTTGTGCTTAAATATGAAAATTCAAAGGGAAGTTATACAGTAAAACGTTATTTACCATTACGATATTTAATCATTGTAATGAAATTATTTTTAAAAGAACAGTTCTAACAGCTCGCATACAACATAGGGACCATACTATTCACTTTAGTCCGTTCGAAGTCATGCCTTTAAAATACCACCGCAATTTCAACCCTTTTTTCAAAATTTGATTGGTTAACAAATCTAACCCAATCATATAACATCCAATATTATGTTAATAATTGTCAAGACATTTTTAAGTCTGAATAGTTTTTCAGTTTAAATTATTATTTAGTTGTAAAAAAAATAACATGCAAGAATTGAATGACTTAAAGTTTTTAACAAATCCAAACTATTTTCACTGTTTAAGCGATTTAAACAAATTAGACAATTATTATCAAATGAACAATAGCAGTGTATTTAATGTTAATAAACATAATCAAGCTAATGAAGACATACCTGTGACCATATTTCCATCTAAATACATTAATTCAGATGAATTTTTCAAAGAAACATTAAAACTTGGTCAATCCTCATCAGAGTTAACTCCGTCTGAGTCCATTCAAACTTACTTAATGAATACAGCTCTATGGAATGCATTAAATTTAGATCAATTTAAACAACAATGTTATAATCCAAATGAACATACACTGAATGAAAAAAACTTATCTCAACAGATGAATATCGATACAGTTAAAGACTTTACAAACTATAATTTTGAAAAACGTAGGAAATTAAATGAGCATTATCCATCTTCTAGTCTTAATTCTTATTATTTGGATTCAAATTATGATAATAAAACTGAATATCAGTTAGAAAAACGGATACATCAAACAGTTCATGATCAGTATGAAAATCAACCATTGAATAATATAAATAATTATACTGGTAAATATATGAGCAACTCACAAGTAAACAATAGTACCAATAGTGATACTTTGGAGAAATATCAATCGGTATCAATACAAAAAATGACTGATGGTATGTGAAATCATTTTATATAGTGTAAATAAATCCCATGATATGTTTGTAAGGTTCAGCTTTTGCAAGGTTTTCGTCTAATCTGAAAGCATCTTTTATACTTGAGGAGTATGAGAAGTTGTATTTGAGACTATTTAGAAGAGAAAGAAAACAACAGAAAAAGTGACCCGATTATCGTAGGAATGAAATCCAGGGTATGAAACTACGTGATAAAGGAATGTAAACTTTTCTTGTTGAAGTTTATTATCTGAAGATATGTACTTCACATTGTTAATATGTTTTGTATAATAAAATATCTGGGATATTCTGATTCATTAATTTCAGAGAGTTGCATACTTATGCACGAAGATTTTAAGTTGAATGATTAATACTTTTAGTCATCCCAGTTATCAAGTAGTATAAAGAAACAGTGTATGAATTCTTTTTGAATATGTGATAACTTTTCAATGTGTGTTATTCTATAACAGATAGTGGCTTCATGTTACGAATACCCGTCATAACCACAAAACTGTTATAGACTTTTTAATCTATTTATTAATTTAATTTCTTCTACATAAACTGTCCAACTCAATCACTAGCTAGATTTCATCTAGTCAATTTATTAAATTGAGATGTCTTAAGATTTTAAAACTAAAGATAAACCATTGTTAGTGAAGCTTTATAATTTATTGTTGTTGATATCAAGGACTGAAACTGACCAATATATAGTGTCATATGGGTAATCTGAATTACTCGGACACAGTATGATATCACTAGTTTAAATATTTTTGGTATGTACTCAGCAGTAAAATCCAGCAGGTGCGTCAAAGTTACGGCAAATCACAATTCTGGCTAATAACTTCATTCCCTTTGGACAAGTCAGTGGCTATCTGGAATAACGAGCTCAGTGTATAACACATTTAATGTTATAATTAGAAAATATCGCGTTCGAGTTTCAGTGTGAATACCAATAGCGAGATGCAAACGCATCCAACTAGACAGTCCCAAATAGAACAGAACGCTTATCCTGGATTCCGCTACCAGCCGCATACCAAATATACTAAAAAATACACTAATGTTTGTATCCAACAAAAGCGTCCGATTAGTTTGTTATTCTAAACTAACTAATACAAAACAGAAACTTTAGCTGAGAGGCACAGTTTTAAAAATCTCTCGTTAGAACTAAAGTTTGATTCCACTTTTACTCCGAAATCTCTGCTTTCACTGAGAATTTTCTGATAATACTTAACGGAGATATTATAATTACTGATAAAATTTTTATATATTTGGATAAGATAACGTATTTTTGGACTTGTGAGGATTAATCTGAACTAATTACATAAATAATCACGGTGTTCTAAAGTTGAGATTATCATAGAACAACAAAGTTAATTAACATTGATTACAAACTCCAATTGATTTATCTTTGTATTTTGATTACAGTAACCAAGGAGTCCATAATAGTTGAGTCATGACAGTGGTTATGGTACTATGTTTTGTTTTAATATGAAAATTTGCTAGGAATCTAAAACAAGATATTAAGATCTCTAGACAAGTGTGTAATCTTTAGATTCATTGGCTAACATTCCCAACTTGGATCACTGTATGACGAAATCTACATATAAATTAGACTTATCCCCACAAAACCTCTCAACCAAAATGACTGGGTGTAATATTCGTTTTTAGCTTGTATCTAATGAGCTTCAGCATTCTTGTTATTGACTGAATTCTGAATAATAAGTTGAATGATGATGATACCACATATCGACTGAAGCAGGTTCAATAGTTAAGCACCTTTTGTGAGGTCTAAAAGTTCTGGTTTCAGGTGGTAGGTACTCAGTTCGGATGATTCACATGTTAGGACGAAACAGTTATCTAGTTCTTTATGTTTTCTAATAGCACCCGAGTTAAGTCTAGTTCGTTACGAATACCACCTAGGAATGAAGCTAATTTTCTCAAAACTCCTCCACTAAATTACTGCATGTATTCGACTTAATTTATGCTGAGAAATCGTGACATATGGGTGTTTATGTATCAACAGAGAATTTAAATCCTTAAAAAATGGAAACTTAACAAGATTACCATTAAAGCTTTCTGTTATTCCTTTAGTTATTATGACTGCTTCAATCAAGCTGTGAGATACTTTAATGCTCAGGTTCATCTTAAAGAATACTCAGAAACAATTTATAAGTTTAGGAAATCCAAATTCACTGACTGACAAGTCATATACCTTCATAATAGTGAGTATCACATATGATACTAACGTGAATGACTTGAAAAGTCTCTTGACTGCAAAGCGATCGGTCTAAACGGTGCTACAAAATATATCTGTCAATCCACAGAGTTCTATTTCACAATGAATGGAACTCTTTTGACTATTTCCCAATTACATTAATGAATCTTATTTGCTTATAGCAAGTTTATTTGAAGCTGTGGGAGTATGAACAAAATAATAGTTGCAGAACAAATAAGTTAGGTAGTTGGTGAGTTAGTGAACTTGATTAAGACTTATCTGAAACACAAAGGGAACTGATGCTACCATCGGAAATAGATTTCACCTCATCATGTATCATCGTCAGAGAAGTTATAAATGAGTTATTTGGGTTGCAACTGACCACACGTGGGAGCGAGATATTTTTACCTATTGATCACTGAGTACTGTCCAATGTTAAGCCTATCTAGTTCTTAGTTCTGGTCTTATTCTATTAACCAAGTTGTATAATGGATATCAATCTAAGTACTTTGCGCTATTGTCCATAATGTTTAAATTCTAGATAGTCAGAGATCTGATATGAGATATTAAAATGGGATTTATCAAATCAGAGGGACTGTAGGTAAACTAGTTGTGTTAACAGCATTATATTTGTGACAAATTCTTATTAATTTCCTTTGACACACAACAAAGTTATCATTTACGATAAAATTCATTTTCGATGGTTATTTAGTGACCAGTTATCGATTCAAATTAAATCTATTTCGTGACTGAAATATTCTGATTTTGCAAGGGAATTCTAAGCAACGATGTTAGGGATATTTGTTTGGTTATTTGCTAACTGGGCTGCAAAATACAAATACTATACAAATAGAAGTAAACAGAACTCTCGGCCAGTACCTCGTAAAATTTCAAAGCAAATCTCATAATTTTCAATTTTCTTAAAACTAGTAATTACATAAGAAATAATATTCATCATGGAATGTTATCAGCTAAGCAATCATTGAAAATCAAAGAATATTGAGTATTTGTTATAATCTTGCTTTAGATTATCCTGTAGAACATAGAAAATCGTTGTACTGACTGGTTACTGGGTATTAACCAATATTTTGTTCGTTTAGTCGACAAGTTTGTGACGAAAACCACCTATAAGTTAGATTATTCTCGACAAAACTTCTCAACAGAAATGACCAAATATGAACGATTTGTGTTCATTTTTATATCGCGTGATACATATCGAGATTTTAGGTGGCATGTGGTAGTCGACAAGAAACCCTAGATGTAGATGTCGTGAGTAAGGAGTTTCTGAAACCCTTAGTAAACTGATGCTGTTCACTGGATCCAAACTTGAATCGCTCATTTTCAATAGGAGTAAATATTTTATTCTTCCAGGTAATCAGTAGAGACATTAATAGCACAGTTGTAATTTTTTAGACAACCTAAGTGGTTGACGTGAATTTGAATTCTATAAGAAGCCTCAGCCTCACAAATACTGCAGACATGCCTTAATGATGAGTGATAAATAGCATAAAAGTTCGGTCTGGAGTTTCCCGTTACTTACAGGTAATAGTGTAACATAGAAAATGGGTTTGAGTGCAGCAACTTATGATTTAGCTTTAAATAAGCTTACTTAAAAAAGAAGTTATTTGTCATGAATATGTCATTTTCTTCATGTTTATGAAAATGTTTGTATTTAATAAAAATTGCGTTAATTAGGATGAATTAAATTCAGTCTTGTGGCATTGCTATTAATCAACCCCATTAGACATCAGGACTGATGTATAATCAGTTGTACATATAAGGGATATTGCATACTTCTAGTATACTTAGTTTCGGTCACCAAGTGAGTTTGTTAACTTCCTGTCATTCGTTTATTACCGCTAATCTATATACATTATCCTAGAGTAATCCAAACCCAGAAAAATGGTCCACAAACCAAACGAAGTAGGTTAGTGAGCTACAATGAATCAAGAATGAGGATAACTGTGGTGTGGATAAATCCTAAAATTTACCAAGTTTTCATTTGGCAATAAGAATTCTATCACTAAGCGAACTTTAATTGAAAAAGTTCTTTGTTATGATAGTTGAGAATTCACAATCTCATTGAGTTAGAGCAGTCTTGAGTTAACGTTTATAATCTCATTAAATGTAAGGAAATCAGTACTTAGAAACAACATTGTCATTAATACCTCCAGCTTAATTTAGTTAACTGATAACTATATATGGTATTCCGTAGTATCTTGATACTACCTTATTAGGTGGAATTAAAGAATAACAAAAAAGAATTTAAGAACAGGGTCCCCCATATTCTTAGATTTCATTTTCTAAAAATCAAAACTGCGAAATTCTTATCAGTAGGTTTATTTTATATGTAATATACATATAAAAAAGGGATTAGCGTTAGAGAAACAAACAAGAGAGAAATTATGACAGTTTTGATGTTCACAGCTCATACATCCACTCAATGATCAATTATATCAACTGTTTAGCATTTAATTCCTCTTTCTATTATCATTTTGACCACACTTACAACCTAGTTTTAAAAAGGAAAGACATATGAAAATTGACAGCTTAATCCTTATTTTCTGTAAGAGAACCAAGCACTCGACTTCCTTTTCTTTTTTAATTCTCTCTAAAAATGAATTATCTTCAAATCTTTAATTCTAATCTGTTTTCCTACTTCACTTTGTTCATTCAACTGACTTTATTTATCAACAAGCTTACAAGTTGACTTAAATGTGATTAGATCAGTAAATAACTGACTAAAGTAAAAAAAGCTTTGTCTACTTGTTCAGTTATTGGTTGATCA